TGGAAAAAGTAAGTGAGATAAATATATGTTTAATAACATAATTTATCAAAAGAGAATAATTCTGTTTTATCTTTCTTAAAGGTATACGACGTCTCATCGAAAGTTTACCATTACTGAAAGAGAAAATTCATTATAAACCAGTATTAGCGGCCTTACGAAGTATAATTGAGCAAACGAAGAAAAAGGCGGATGCAAAAGCAGTTTGTCTAGAATTAGAAGAGAAAATACAGGAACTTGTAGACGCTAAGGATAACGAAATGACAGATAACGAGGTAACAGACAGTCATTTAATGCCACCACCATCTACTGTACCGAGGAACAAAAAAAGTATTCGTCGTAAACGTAAGAGTACGAGCGATTGGTAACAGACAGTCATTTAATGCCACCACCATCTACTGTACCGAGGAACAAAAAAAGTATTCGTAAACGTAAGAGTACGAGCGAAGATGAAGATAGCTCCGATGACTCTGAAGAAGATGTACCCGTTTTAAAATGTAAGTTTAAAATCGATTTTGTTAATGTTTTTTATACATTGTGTATTATTAAGAAAATATACATACAGCATAATATTATATTAAATAGGTATGCACAATAGAGATAATTTAGATTATAAAATTAAATATTTCAATAAACGTTTGTGTAATAATTGTATATATGTATATTTTTAAAATGTGTACATTGATATCTCAAAAAAAAATTTTATACTTATTTCACAGCAAGAAATAATACAAAAAAGTTATCCAATAAAGAAAATATTTCTTATGCAAAGTCAAATAAGGATAGTGATGAAGATAATTCTGATGTCAATAAAGATTCAGTTACCTCGATATCAGTGAGACATGGTATTGATTTTTTCAACTTAATTTTTTGTATTGTAATTTAGAGTAATTAATAGAATGAACAACTTTTGATATCTTTGGTACAGTTGGCTTTTGGTGTGAATAATAATATTTATTTTATATATATATATATATATATATATATATGTATGTATATAGAGGAAAGACCTCTATTATGAGATACCGAGTTCATTTTGGGTAAATGCTAGAAGTCTATGAGTAGAATGTAAAAAAATAATAGGTCATTTTGAAGAGAATTTAATAAGCTTTAAGATAATATATCATATAAAATTTAATTCAAAAATTTTATTTTTTTCGAAAATTAAAGAAATGTAAAAAGTGAGCAAATTGCAAAGTAAAAAAATTGTGCTCCTAATATGAGATGCCCCGAGAAATCGATAATAAAACGCAAAGTATATCAGTATTAACTAAAAAAGTAACTAAAAAACTTTATTTAATGTTTTTTAAATACAAACAAACACAGCTAGAGGGTGCGCGAAAAATGAGTATGCGATACATTATACACAGAACTCGTCTTCAGATAGTTGAAATCAAGTATCGCAGAAATAGGCACTCGACGTTCATTCCGGTTGTCCTTTTTATTATTGTACAATAACATTTATACTTTAGCAACGATTTTTTCACTATGACATGGGAGCATGGGTTATTTCATATTAGAAATGATATCCTGGGTATCTCATATTACGATTTCCACGTCTTACGGTTTGACGATTATCAAATCTAACTTCTGTAATTAAGCAATTCAACATATTCCGTATTTTTCTATTAGTACGACCTTACTCATCACTACATGAAGAATTTATTGCCAAATATTTATTTATTAAATAATAAATAATGTTTAAAGACTCATCTCAATGAAACTTGAAGACATCCAAATTATAAAATCTTTTTTTACAATGATTACAGGTATGATCTAATAATGAATTTTCTACTAAATAGTTTTCAATCTAAGAGCAATAAATTCATGGTGGAACTAATAGATAGCGTCTATTAGTTTAGCAGAAATGCCGCTATCTCATATTAGGCGCCTATCTCATAATAGGGGGCTTTCCTCATATATACAAGGTGTCTAATAAGTTTCTATCAACCGCTTTTGTGTAGATAGAGTGGACTAAACTGAGTCGAAAAGTCCTCTACCATTTTGCAATTTTCGCAATAGTTAACAAGATATTAATTACTAAAAATTGTCGAAAATTGGGGTCTTCAATAATTTTTTACTCAAATACTATCAACTTTACAGAAAAACTGCAAGAGACAAAAATTGTTTATTTTCTTCTCATAGAGCTCTAAGAATTTTTTTCAGAATTTTTTATCAACTTTTTAGTACTGCATTTTCTTATTTTTACTGACATGAGAAAATAACGGTATTAAAAAATTCTGAAAAAATTCTCAGAACTTTATGAGAAGAAAATAAACAATTTTTGTCTCTTGCAGTTTTTCTGTAAAGTTGATAGTATTTGAGTAAAAAATTATTGAAAACCAATATTCAGCGATTTTTATTAATTAATATCTCGTTAATCATTGCGAAAATTGTAAAATGGTAGAGGACTTTTCGATTCAGTTTAGTCCGCTCTATCTATACAAAAGCGGCAAAAACTTACAGAACACCCTGTATATTTAAACAATTATTTTTACTTAATATCTATTATATATATGTAATTTATTTATTATATACGTATTACACGTTATTCTAGAATTTTTAAATTATAAATTCTAAATAGTAAACGAATAATTTAAGGGGATGCTGGATCAAAATGGCCGAACTTGATCAAAATCTATAGTACAGACTTAAATTCCAAATTCGATAATAGTGACATCATTCATTTCTTATACTTAGGGGTCGATTCTGTAACTCTTAAACGACAGTCGTTGATGTCTTGCGCAGCTTTTTTACTCTACATAATATCTGCGCAACGACATCAACATCAACGACTGTCGTTAAGAGTTAGGCCTTACGCACAATAGAAGGAATAAGAAATTAGGAATAAAGAATAAACGATTTCAACCTATTAGAAACTGTGTATTCCGATGTATCCGATTTCTAATAGGTTAAAGTTGTTTATTTTTTATTGCTAATTCCTTATTCCTTCTATTGTGCGCAGGGCCTTACAGAATCGGCTTCTTATTATATATCGTTGTGTCTCGCTCAAACGCATTCATCTGTTCTTATCTAACATATTGCAACGCCATCTCTTAAAAAAAGATCAACTAAAATACTGCTCGGTTTCATGAGGTCTGTTCTTTTTGGCTGAACTTTTACACCAGTTCATCTTTCTTCCTTTTCTCTCCAGGAAGAAAGAAGAGGAAGAAAAATGAACTGGTGCAAAAGTTCAGCCAAAAAGAACAGGCCTATGGCTTCACGTCAATTTCACTCGTAATATACAAACGAAATTTTCGGCGACTCTTTTCTCTTATACTAAAGCCCCTACCTCGTTTCTAAAAGCATAGAATTGTTCTTCGAGGTTTTCTGTAGGCTGCTGGTTACTTATTTTAAGCGGGTAAAATCTGAAACTCTTATCTGCAGCACATATTGTGACGTGTCGACTACAGAAGCTGATAACAAAACTGTAAATCATAAATTTTCTTTCGTTTTTCGTATTCAATTGTAGCTGGCGAATTGCGCTGTTGTCGATGCTTTAATTATGGAGAAGGACTTTTCAATCCATAAACACAATTAAGAGAAAAGAGTCTTTAATAATTGATGGTAAAACAGGACACCTCTTTTTTCAATCCATAAACACAATTAAGAGAAAAGAGTCTTTAATAATTAATGGTAAAACAGGACACCTCCAGCATCCCCTTAATATGTAATAAAATATATACGATAGATATTGAGTAAAAAAATTTTTTATTCATATATAAATTAATAACAAACAATTTATCAAACTTTTTGAAACTATTATAATATTATTAAATAAAGTTATAGCTCTCATTTTCTATTATTTGCAATTATACATATATAATTTTGTCATGAATGCTTTACAAGAACTGATGATCTGATTGATAATGGGGATAATATATTCATTATTTGTATGCGTGTGTAGCTGTGTGTAAAATAATAGATATGGTAGAGAATAATAGTAACACAAATTTATTTTACTTTTTTATAGGTAAAAGAAAAGAATGCGCAAAGGAAGACACAAGTACGCTTAGTAATATTTCATCGTCGTCTTTAAAACGAACTAAATTGTTGCGGGAAATTCCAACAAGGAGTTCAGTTCGATTACGCAAATGATTTACTTGTAAAATTAAAATATAAAATTTTTTTAATGGACAAATGTAATGTATGAGTTATATGTAGTAACAGCCCAGACAGCACAAAATACTAAAAGATAACGAAAAGAGGTCTTTTTTAAGTCGCCTTTGCGACAAAGCGAAAAGATGTCTAAAAGATGACGAAAAGACATTGTTTTTAGATTGTCTTTTCAGCAAGATCAAAAGATATCTATAAGACATCTTTTAGCTTTTTCGAAAAGACAACTAAAAAAGGACATCTTTTCGTCATTTTTCTATGGTTGTCATTTTCGCAAAGCAAAAGGTCGACTAAAAGATATCTTTTCGTATTGCCGAAAAGACAACATGAAAAAGATATTTTTCCGTTATTTTGGTACTTTTTATAACTCA